ACGTGCAAATCGTAATGTGGATATCTTGAGGGAGTTTTCCATAGAGCAAAATATCAAGTACTTTTATGATATTAAAGATCTTAATAATTTTAAGGTATGACACTCTTGACCCCTGTACTTTCATTTTCTAGTCCACTATTCTGAGGAATTTAGTATATGCTCTCTGTTTATTGACAGTAAAACTCATTTCTAATTCATACCATTGCAGGCTAACCCCGACTACAAAGGAGTATGCCATGTTGCACTTGCTCAAGAAGGTCATTGTAGGCCTGGAGAGGTAATGATTCTTATACTAAAATGGTTGAAATTATTAATACTCTACTTTAATTTAAACCTCGTGCTGCCAAACGGCTGATACGTTCTCTACTCTGGCTTCAGGTTTTGTTAGGGACAGATTCTCATACCTGTACTGCTGGAGCATTTGGTCAGTTTGCTACAGGAATTGGAAATACTGAAGCAGGTTTTGTATTAGGCACCGGGAAGCTTTTGCTCAAGGTTTGATTACTTTAAGGTTTCAGTGGCTGAAATGTGTTTCTTATTTTGTTGCTCACAATCTCTGTTTGCCATTAATTTTCAAAAAAGAAAAACATTCTCTGTTTGCCATTAGTTTTCTACTAGTATTGCAATTAAATTTAGCTTATCTAATTTCATTGCTCTGCTATTTCATTCCCCAGATGGATTAGACATTGTATTTGGCTACACTTGCTGCTTCTTCTAGTTACATTTCCCAATAGATATATTGACATTATTTCTCTTTACTAAATGAAAGGGTTTTAAGAGGATTCAACTTCATTTACCAAAGTCGTAGAAGGATTTAGGCATTCTAGCTGTTTGTTGAGTGGTTTTTCAAGTTTGTTACTTTAGGCATCCATACGTTTATCTGATGATTATCTATTTCAAGTCTTTATTCTGGGAATGGCTATTGATGTTTTCTCTGAGTGAGGGCTGATAGTGTAGTAATGTGGGGTTTTGTTGCATGACACTTGCAGGTACCACAAACTTTGAGGTTTGTGATGGATGGTGAAATGCCTCATTATTTGCTTGCAAAGGATTTGATTTTGCAGGTAAGTTCAATTATTTTTTCAGGCAGCTGTTTCTTTTTGACAACTATGAAGTCAATATCTAGTCTTGTTGAAATACTACTCTTGTTTGTGATGCATAATATTCTTATTTATTGGTATATTGGTAGATCATAGAATGAGTAAGGCATTTTGTTCTGCTTTGTACCCCAAGAATGGTTTCCATTTTGCAGATCATTGGTGAAATTTCTGTAGCCGGTGCAACATATAAATCCATGGAGTTCATTGGCACAACTGTTGAAAGTTTAAGTGTAAGTGAGCTTGAAATGATCCAATTCGGTCATTGGAAAAATTCTAAGTTAGTTCATTTCAACGGTACAAATCATGAATTCAATTGTTCTGATCACTTGTACTGGGTAGATGGAAGAACGGATGACATTATGCAATATGGTTATTGAAGCTGGTGGAAAGAATGGTGTTGTTTCTGCTGATGGTACTACATTTAAGTACCTTGAGGTAAGTGCAAAACTCATTGAATGCATTTGGTCCCAATTTCACTGCTTTGATCAATGTGTATTTATCCAACAAAGTTTCCCTCTTTGTATGTCTATTTCTGTTGTCTTGCCCAGCAGTGGCTTATGGAGTTATATCTTTTGCTTTGCACAGGATAAAACATCTGTGCCATACGAACCAGTTTATAGTGATGCACAAGCAAGGTAGAGTTATATATTTCAAGACATCAGTTCCTATTTTTACTATCTTGCTTGTAGTTTTTATTTTTTAAATACCTTGGATGTGAATCAAAATGGACATTTTCTGAATCTATATGTTAATTTTGTTCTGTCCTTTTCTAGTTCACATTGGGGAAAGCTTTGCTAAATTCTCAGGAGCTGTCTGGTAGAGAAGATCTGACAGTAGCAACTTTAATAAATGATTTTCATAAACATAGTGGTTGCAGTTGGCATCAATTAGTCGTTTCCTTTCCTGCATGGAGCTGCATTCAAATAAGTGAACTTATTCTTATCTTCTGGCTTTCAGTTTTCTTTCAGAGTTCAGATTTGATGTCTCAAAGTTGGAGCCCTTGGTAGCTAAGGTGGTTGTCACATAACAGTTGCTGTTTTACTTCTCTTTCTTCTTCTTTCTGTGTGTATGTTATTTAGCACTTATACTTGAGTAATTTATGGAAAATATATTTTGCAGCCTCATTCTCCTGATAATCGTGCTTTGGCAAGAGAATGCAAAGATATTAAAATTGACAGAGTCTATATTGGATCTTGTACTGGTGGCAAAACAGAAGATTTTCTTGCTGCTGCCAAAGTCTTTTTAGCCTCAGTAAGAGTCATATATTACTATTTCTCATCCATTTTAGTTTTAGAGATAGAGAGAGATCAAGAGATCCAACATTATGGCATTAAGCATCATCTTCTGCACGAGAATCAATATGTTTTGTTCTGTACAATCACTGGCGCTTTTTTCACATTATTGCTACAATTTGGCAACTGTTTTGAATGGTAGGCTTATAGACAGTGACAATCTGATTTGTCTGAACTGCAGGGCAGAAAGGTCAAAGTCCCCACATTCCTTGTTCCTGCTACCCAAAAGGTGTATGAAGCTGTATCATTAATGTTAAAGAAAAACATCATTCAACTTGCTTTAACAATAAATGAATGTTCCTTATTATTAACATGGTAAATTGGCAGGTTTGGATGGACATATATACTGTCACTGTACCAGGATCTGGTGGCAAGACTTGCTCCCAGATTTTCGAAGAAGCTGGCTGTGATACACCTGCAAGCCCCAGTTGTGCTGCTTGTATGGGTGGCCCTAAAGACACATATGCACGCATGAACGAAGCTCAGGCAAGTTGTCTTCTCGCCGCCTTCAACAGGAAGAATTCGTTTTTACTTTCTACTGTAGTTATATAATGTGAAGGATGATTTACCAAAACAAGAAATGGTGTAAGGACTGAGGACATTTAATCTCTTAAAACCTAAACTTGGAAGGACAGTAGCAACCATTTATGCTATTCTG